GGTTGGTTGGGTTTTTTTGAGTGCTTCCGTTGGGTTTTTGTTGTTATTTTTTTTTATTGTATAGTTTTAATGCTCCTGGCGACACTAAAAGGTTATTTAAGAGGCGGTACCACGGAATTAACGTCCATCTCAAATAGGACCGAGCCAAATGGAAAGGGAAAGATTCGCTTAGTAAAGAGTCTTTCCCCAAAGAAACAAATTTATTGAACCGAGCTGAGCCCTGAACCCTCAAACCCGCAATCTCATGATTACAAGTCCGGAAACCTAATCACTAGGCCTACACTAAAGACGTAACTGTTGTGGTTTAATTCCAGCAAAATTGGAGGAAAAAAAAAGAATAGGAAGACCACAACAGAACTCGCAGCATCCAGGACAGCCCTAAAAGTTTACAAACAGTTCATCAACAGGTAACGCGACTAGCATTTGACAAGACAGTTTTATCGACCTAGTCAGACACCAACACAGCCCTTGAAGACAGTTGTCTTGTTATGACAGCGCAGTATTCTATTCCATTTTATTCTCCCAATAAAACTACCTATAAAAGTGGCAACAAAAGACAAGTTTTTTGGGTTTTTTTCGTTTTAGTTTTAGAAAGAGTTTCACAGCACTTGCAACATAAGAGGTCAAACAAGTGCCAAAGATTAGAGGTGTTTCAAGAGAGTAACAAACACAAAAAAGAAGGAGGGAAGATAAAGATGATAGATGTTGATAGGAAAGAAGGAGCAAATTTATTTACGTGCGGCACAAGCATATGCGAAGGTAATTGGGAGGGGGGGGGGAGGCTCCAGGGCCGAGTGGTTAGTGAACTAAAGCTCATAATGATATCAAGAGCATTTATTCATTGAAGCGGTGTTTTTGGTGGGTGACCCCTGGGGTGTGAGCTGGAGTAAGACACAATAACCCTAGCTCAAAAACAGGGCGCTGCATCTTGCACAGTGACGACCGGCAATAGCATGTTCACTGGCCATGTTAGTGTGACATTGTGGATTCAGTAACATTGATAATTGCAGGTATTTAATTTTGTCTATGTTTCTCAGCATGGACACTTTTGTAAACCAAATCTCTTCTCAGGAGAAAAAACTACTTAGTCATCACAAACTATATTATTGTAATGGACCTTGTTTATTTTGCTGTTATAGCTGTAGTTGTGGTTGTACATATAGTCGTTGTGGTAGTGGTGGGGGTGAAGCTGAGTTTGATATGGTTACCATTGTTGTAGTTGATGTTATTGCTGTTGCTGTTGGTGTTGTTGTTGCTTTCTTGCTATTCTTGTAGTAGTAAGAAGTGGTAGTTAGTTTGATGTTGATGTTGTTTTTGTTCTAGCAGTTTGTTGTGGAGAAGAACAAAGTTTATGTTGTGTCTACTGCAGTAGCGGTTGTTGTTGATGATGTTGTTGTCATGTTATTGCTGTTGTTGTTGTTTGTGGTGGTGTTTTCGTTATTGTTGTTGTTGCTGCTGCTGCTGCTATTGTTGTTGCTGTTGTTGTTGCTATTATTATAGTGATTTGTAGTTGTGAAGATCGACATTTTGTTGGTGTGGTTGCCAGTGTCATTGTGACTATTGCTATTGTTGTTGTTTATGACGACATAATAATTGTTGTTGTGGTTGTTGCCGTAGCAATCAATTCAGTAGCCTTTGGGTCCATGAAGAATGCACAAAAAATCTTACCTTATCGAGGAACCAGCCTGGCCCAAACCCAGAATTATCGTGGCCCACTCTGACCCGGTCCAGTCTGCCCAGCTTGGGACACTGCACAATGAACTCATCAGTTCTGTTGGAACAGACAAGGGATGCAAAGGGGTTGAAAACAGTACAGTGACCATGAGCATGTCACGAGGGAGACTGGGAAAGAAACAGACAGAGAGACAGACAGAGAGACAGAGAGACAGAGAGACAGAGAGACAGACAGACAGACAGACAAACAGACAGACAGACAGACAGACAGACAGTTTTGGGAAAGTAAAACAGACCCACAGACTGCAGAGGAACAGAAAAGAAATAGGATGTACCACTGGCACCCTCCAACCACTTGATAGACTTTTACTTTTACTTTTTTTACTTTTTTCTTCCGCTTGTACCCTGGGGTGTCGCGGGGAGACACAGGTGTCTGTCTGCAGCAAGTCGTGTGGCCTGTAGGAGGGACATCCCATGATCTTTAAGGGTGTCTGCCACAGATTCACTCCATCGTCGCCTTGGTCTTCCTCTGGCTCTCCATCCAGAATATTTAATGTTGTATGCTCTCAGAGCTGGATGGTTTGAGGGCATCTGCGTGAGGTGTCCGAACCACTTGACCCTTTGTTTTTCAATGTGTGGTAGGACTGGTGTTGCTCCCATGGTATCCCTAATGACTTCATTTTTAATTTTGTCTCTTCTTGTTTTGTTGACCGCTCTTCTTAAGCATTTCATCTCGCGTGACCAGTTTCCTCTCTAGGGCTTTTGTTAGAGTCCATGTCTGGCACTGATATGTGAGCGTTGGAAGGAAAATGGCGTTGATGAGCTTCGCCTTGGTGCTCATGGGGATATTGGGATGATTCAGGAGAGGGCCCAGTTGGTAGCTGACTGCGTTGGCTCTCTGGCATCTAGTCTCTATCTCTCGATCTAATTTTCCATTTTCTGTGAAAATGCTGCCCAAATATTTGAATTCTCTGCTTTGTTTTAGTTGGGATCCATTGATGTTGATATCCACTTTACCTGGTCTCCTGCTAATTGTCATGACTTCGGTCTTGCTTATGCTGATCTTCATGTCATATTTTTCGCAGCTCGCATTTAGTTGGTTTATATGCTCCTGTAGCTGAGTCTTGTTGTTAATCATTGCCAGGTCATCTGCAAACATGAGTTCGTTGAGTGCCTCTGGGTCTGGATTGGCCTCTTTTGTTATCTGGTCCATGTAGATCACGAAGAGCAGAGGGGAGAGATTGCAGCCCTGTCTCACTCCGGATGTTACTGGAAACCAGTCCGATGTTCCACTGGTAGTTCGGACAGCGCTTCTGCTGTTGGCATAGATAGCCCTGATGTTGTCTAGTAGTTGTCCCTTGATGTCGTACTGCTCTAAGATCTTCCATAGCTTGTTTCTATTTACTCGATCAAAGGCTTTTTCTTGATCCACAAATACGAGGTGGAGATCTTTGTCGTATTCCAAAGCCCTCTCACACAGTTGTCGGAGTGCGAAGATTGCATCAGTGCACCCTCTTCCTTTTCTAAAGCCAAATTGGGCGTCACTGAGAAGATGTTCAGTTTTTGCGCGAGTACGTCGCTCTAGGATTTTTGCATACATTTTCCAACAACTTGATAGACAAACAAGACAGTTTCTTGCATCTCTCCCATACTTTTATTTTTGACCATTGCCAATTGCCAAGTTGCATTCGTATGAACTGAGATAAATGGTGGGAGTTATTTTCAAGACACAGCATTCTTTCCGGGAGCTATCAAGAATCAAACCCTTAATGATCATTATCATCAAATGCTAGATGTGTGACAAACATCAATGATCATGGTATGCCATTTCATTCCTTTACTCGGATGCTTTCAAAAAGGTAAAATTATCCTGATTTTTTTCTGTCGCCCATCTGTTTAGGCTCTCCAAGTTCCCTAAAGATACAATTGGGAATCGAACTTTAAGACTCTGGACAAGGACAATCCCTATCATAAAGTCTGTATTGGCCATAACTGCCAGAAACTTACGAATTCCTCTCAAAGCAGTTGGTTCTGCTCTTTGTCAGTTTTTTCTCCCCCGAGTCTCCAAACTCCCCAAACATCGTGATGGACACGTTGGCGTCAGTCCCTGCTCCACCTTTGTTGCCAGTGTAGACTGTTACCTTGTACTTGCTCGCTGAGAGGTAGGGGAGAGAATGGGGAGGGGGGGGGGGAGAAGGGAATGAAGGACAAAACTTTTATTCTTCCATTTCATAGAATTTCAATGACACTGGCTTGTAACGCAAATAAAAACCTTCACTGATAAGTCGTTGTAAGCATTGTTCTCTTGGACCAGATAAAAGTATCTGTGCCGTATTACTCCACTGTCTATATGCTGTGTTAAAGGCGTGAGTTAATTGTCAACTATACGAGTATGATCAATGGAACATAACATCAACATAATCATCAATGTACTCTTTATAAGTGATCTACTAAAGCTCCCTGTTTTTTGCAACTGTTTAAAGAAGACAGTAATCAAGAGAATCATCAGATTGCACTTTTGAACACAATCACCAAATGGAACCCAAAATAACAAATGGAAAAACTTACGCTTTCTGATTGCCAAAGGATCTCGGTTACCAAGGAGGTCTCTGCTGATTTCTCCATCACCTTCATCTTTAGCAAGCCATTGGCCACAAGGAAAGAAGTATTTCCACTGAGAATTCTTCAGATCTGTTATCACCACCTGAAAAAAAGACCAACTATACACTTCAGTCTCTGTGAAAAAAAAAGCAGACAAGTAACCATTTTTAGATATTTCTCGGAGCAAAACTCTATGTTCATAATATCTTATTCAGAAAGACAATATTTTTCAAATAATGCAGTGTTTTTATATTTCAACATCACGGTTAATACAAGTTAACATTTCTGTGGCAAGTTTTAGCATTCTTCTCAGTGATGGTAGCTGCAGTCCCATCTTCTCTTCATTGCTGTCATGTTTCACATACATAATATGGAAGCATCTGACACGGAGTAGTCAGAATTAATGTCCTCATTATCATGAATATTTAAAATCTTCATCAACACAATTCAAATTACTTGAAAGGGGTGATGTTTCCAGCCTGCCGGCAAGGATGGAGAGCTTATAACTTCACATGCTGTTGGACTGTGTCTATCCTAAATGCAGACATACACACCCAATGCATATACAAAATACTATTAAAAATCAGATGGCCATACCAGTCTCCAAGCAGCTTTCCAATCAAGACCATGATTAAGTGTATGTGTCTCTAAATGCCCTGATCAAACATTTCGTAAATGTAATTGAACATTAAAAAAATGTTCTCTGTTTGGCCACCTTGCTCCATCAGTTTGAAACTCTCTTCCCCAACCCCAGAGACATACAACATCTGAGTCTAAATTTAAAATATCTTTAAAAATACATATTTAATGACACAATTTTTATGTCAGTAGATTCATAATTAGTACAATGTTGTGTAAATGACTATGTATCCATTTGCGTATTTTGTGAATAGCAGTGTGTATATTATTTTATTCAGTGAATTTTTATGTGCTCATTGCGTAATGATGTGTAAGCATGTGCGTGTGATAAGCAAGTAGATGTGTGTGTGTGTGTGTGTGTGTGTGTGTGTGTGTGTGTGTGTGTGTGTGTGCGTTCGTGTGTGAGTGTGCGTATGTGCACATACGTAAATATTGTTCGTACATGCATTTATGTAAACGCCTAGAGCTGTGTTCACATGGGAGTGGGCACTAAAAAAATTATGAACATTATTATTATTAGTATTACTATTATTAAGTCATGTGTGTGTCAAAACAAAATTCATTTCAAGTTTAGCCAAGGCATATGCTTTCTCTTACAAGCAAGGGTGATAACTATCACAGTCTTAATGAATCAGCCAACAACAGGAAGGTGGGGTACAAAGATATTAAGAACTTGCTGTTTAAAGCACTCACCCTCTCCAAGTACCACCCCGGAGCAAAGCCAGTGTTGTCGTGTTCTATCCTCAGTTTGGTCATTGGACCCACACAGTTGGACTTGAACCGGAACACATCGCTGGAGCCCTTAGTGAACAGGCTCTTGTTGTTGTTCTTCAAATGAATCTTTGAGGTTGTCCCAGTTTTCCCAAACAAGGTCATGAAGACGTTCGAATTCGTTCCAGCACCTTGCCTCTCTCCGGTCACCGTGACGACCTCGTATTCTGCATTAAAAAGAATAGATTGTTCTTGTTATAACACATAACTCTTTGCTTACGCTGTGCAACTACTGTCTCATCAACTGAGAAGTGACAGTATATATTTCGGCCAAATGTCACGCGCAATTCCTTATGTGTCTAGGTGAAAGCATTTCAAGTTCACAACCTTAACATAGATACTTGTTTTTCTCAAAACAAGGAATTAAAATATAGCCACCTATTGTTCTCAATCCATGCTATAGAATCTGTATACTTAGTTAACATTACTTCTTTAAAAAATAATCCACTTTTAGAGCAAGTTACACTACATACATTTCTAAATTTCTTCAGAACATGCAAAGGATTGTATTTTTGTCCCCAGAAAGAGTAAAAGGTTTGTAAAATATTTTATTCTTCAAATGCAGTCCTAGAATGTATAAAAATTCAATGCTACAATATGTAAGAAAAGACAAAAGAACAAGAGATTACTAAAACTTTGTGCGTGATGGAGTCAAACCCAAAAGCAAGTAAGCTAAGCAAGTTATCAAGCAAATATAATTGCTAGAAGAGAAACTACAAAAATTAAAAATGTTTAAGTTTGTTAAAAGGTAGTCCCAGCTATCAGCCAGGTGCACGCTGACATCCTTGAAGTTGCAGCATTACCAGGGAGGAAAATTAGAAGGGAGGTAACAATATTATCAAACAGAACAAATTCTACAAAGAGCCACAGTCAATTCCCCTCTGCTGGAAAAGAGTGTGAAACTTCCTTGAAGCTGTGAAAATATTATAGAATAGACTTTGTGAACACAAAATATCCGTCCCTTGGGTCTGACGTCAAGAGCTCACCTGTTTTAGAAGCTTGTGCGGGGAACAACTCTCTGGAAACCTGGCAGTCGCCATGGTACAGAGAGAACCACTGGTTGCAGAAAAAATGCCACGACTTTTTGTTTTTTGTGTTGACAACCTCAACCTCCTGAAGGTACCAAGCCTCTTCCTTCTTGAGAGCTGATGTCTGCAATTGTAATAGCATACAGACATTGCTATAAAGCAGCCCCCCATTAGAATGGGGGGGGGGGAGGGAATCTATATTACAGGCAAAATTCTTTTAATTCATTAAAAAAAACTAAGCAAAAACTGAAAAGTTTTTGATAACAAAGAAAGCCTTTGAAAACAACAAACACGACTTTTGAAATGGTAAGTGTACTCAATTTTTTACAGAAAAAAATCAATATGGGTGTTAAGACAGACTTCACTGTTGGCTGTGGAATACTTTCATTATACCTTACTTCCGCCGTTGCAGGAACAGAGAAAAAGAAAAACAGACACAGTGAGATATGCCAAAGAAACAGACAGTGTTAATCACAAGAAGAACAACATTCATTTTCTACCTCAATGCTGATGGACTTTAGATCCCCAATGGATGGTCCCCAGATCTTGAACACATGGGTTGATCCCTTGGCAAATCGAAATGCCACTCCCTTTCCAGACTTGACAGAGCCTGCCTTTTTGGTGAGACGAGTCTTTGGGATCTTGCCTCTGGTCCCTTTCATTCTGATGAAAACCTGAAACATTGCACAGAAAAAAGCAGAGTCAGAATATAATTTTCCAGAACCCCTCTTTGAAAGAAGTAGGTGAATTTTAACATCACATCTAATCAAAGTTTTAGTCTCTAGAATCTATTTTGAATATATCTGATATTGTTTGAATAACTCTTAAAAAGTTTATAAACGAAACAAACAGAGGATAATTCTATGGAAATAATGGACACACCACAAAGACAATGCCGCAGATAAAAATAAACCAAATTTCAAATCAAGACAGAATAACCTTGGAGACAATTGCAAATTGTTTAAGTCTGATGATTTCGGCTCACTCTCTTTCATATTGTGTTGACTTGAGGCCTTGCTTTGTAGTCATAATATACAACATCAGAAAACAAATTAGCTCTTTCTAGCTTCCGAAAAATGTTATCCTGACTCTGCCCTGATCACTGTAACCAAATTCACCTACACAGAAAACAAAAGTACCTTAGCATCAGTGCCACAGTTCTTCAGGGTTCCTGTAGTCACAGCAACTTTATAAAGCACATTATCATCGCCAGTCCCGATCCGTCTTCTCTTAGTGAGGAGACCATTTCTTCCATAGCTGCCAGCACTCCGAGGACGAAGAAGTCTCTGAAAGATACAAAAAAGTTACTTTTCTAGCAGAATAAAACTATCTTCAATATTCAGATACAAATTCGGGGTACATACACTTAGAAATTTGAATCTGAAAAAAAGGGAAAGTAGGCACGAGATACAGGATGAATAAATATTAGCATGGATAAAGCACTGTACTGAATGAAGAACTTCAAACAGTTCAAGAGCCCGACAGCATCCTGAGAGTTTTTAAAGAGACAATATAGTGTAGATAGAAGGACATGCTAGGAGTAGACAGATCAGGACAGAGAAAAGTAAAGATCACTGTTTGAGGGCCAAATCCTGTATTAGATTTATTAGGCCAAACAAGAAACAAGAGATAAAACAGGACTTCACCCAGTGACATGTCTTTACTTTACTGGGCATATTGCAAAATTGTTTGATCTTCAGAAAATACAACCACCGTTTAAAGAATTATCCTATTCTGTGTCCAGATGACTTTGAACACAGAAAAACTTTAATGAAACATGATTTTTGTTGGTCAAGAAGGGCTGTAGTATAAGTTTTATAAATTTCGTTCAAATATGAACAGTAACTTTTGCACAGATATGGCAATCTGAACCACAAAATAAAAGTTGAACAGACAATCTTGATGCTGTAAGTCTGACACCAATATAACAAGATATATTACAGCTAACATATCGACAGCTTAATGTAAGACTCCACCATACACCATTTCGAAAAGTGACATATGACGAAGTCATACACCGAGCAGTCAATATAATCAAGAAAAGTAAAAACAAATTTACTGGTGGAGACCACAAGCACAGACAGACAGCTGCAATAAATCAAAACATTTAAAAGACAGACTTTTGTTGCAATGGTTAATCTGCAGTCTATGATGAAGGGGCATGATAAAAGCATAGGTTCGTCACATATAGAATAGGATAACAGTTTTGTTTTATTAAGAATTTTACTGCACTTGCAGTACAATGAGGTCATATAAGTGCCTAAGATTAGAAGTGTTATAAGAGAGTAACATACAGAATAACAGTAATACTGAAAAGGAGTAGAAGGAGCTGACCAAACTAGAAAATCCACCAGCCATTTTCAAGCTGAGACAATCAGACACAAATGATCACACAAATTCACAAACCTGTCGCCTCAGCTCTTCCATCTGTATAGAGTTGAAACGCCGCTCAAAGTATTCTGATAAATGGGGATCATTGAGCGGATCGTATGATGGAATTGGTACACTGTGACCATTTTCTACACGAGGATAACCCAGAGTAGAGTTGATGAATGCTTCCATTTTTCTTGCTGAAAGACAAAAATGACAATAAGATGAAAAAAAATATATTTGGTTATTTCAATATTTGAGCACAAGCTTTGTATTATATGCATTTACTAAGGATACCTTCCTAATAAATAATTTTAAATTATTGCCTATATATGTTAATCCATACTCATTTTCCTCTTTGAAGCAGTTATAAATATAACATATCATTTTCATAGGCTGTCAGCTAGAGCTGGGCGAAGACTCGATTCCGGAACCGATCCCCACTATTAATGCTACGGAAGAAAAGTTCCGACTCCTTTTTACGTAAACCAACGGTTACCAGTCCATTCAATCATAAAAATCATCTTCTTTAAAAAAAGAAATTGTTTTGAAAAAAAAAAAGTTGATGCTTCGTAGTGTTCCGAAATCAAGGTTATCCTAAATCCTGAAAATGTTCGGAGCCAACCAGATAACCACCGGAAGAAATCACTTTATTAGAAAGTAAGTAATTGGGTTCGGAGTCCATTCCTACGATTCCTCCTAGCTTTCAATAATCGGGAACCTAGCCGCCCAGCTCTACTGTCAGCCTGATTATAACTGCAATCACATAAAGTGTGATATTCAATTTTCTCAGCAACACCTATGATTTGAATAAGCAGAGATTAAAAATACTATGCCAAAACATTTTTGTGATGTTAAACATCAGGTAAAGGCTGTCATTTAAAAAAGAAATCCGTATTTACAAATAACCTCACCTGCATAAGGAGCATGTCTGCTAACATCAGACTCAATAGGCCTATGGTTTATGAGTGAAACATTGTAGAAGCGAGTTGGATTTTTGGGTTCTGTAAATTTTGGTCCATGCCAAGGAACGGTGTATGATGTGTCTTGTCTTCTAGAAGGAGCTGAAGCATTGAAAGTGTTAACAAAATGAGTTTTATAAACACATAAGATTTTAAAGCACAAGATCATAACTAAGCAAGTACAAAAGTTCACGAAGATCTTTAAAAGCCTTTCAGCATTCACTAAAACTGAACATCATATTATCTCATGGATCGAAAAAGCAAATATACTAGTAAAAAAAAAAAGAAAAGAAGGGGCAACTTAATGTGTCCACATAGGAAAATTATTCTCCAACAATGAAATTGACAATAGTCAATAATATAAGAACAAATGGAAATAATAAGTAGCACAACAGTTTTTGAAATATCATTAACATGTATCTGTTAAAGGACACATCTCAGTGACAACCCACCTTTAAGTCATGTCAGTGATATATTATTTTTTCACAGCCCTACCTCATCCCCTAAAACAAGTCTTTCATTGATAAAAACTAATGTTCAATATCTAGTCAACCACTGAAAAAAAGGAATCAGTGGCAGCATAAAATCATTCATGTATTCATTCAGTCTCTAGAATTAATTTTCCTTTCATTTCCAATGTATGTGTAAATATGTCAATTTCATAAAGTTGTTGCAAGTGCAAAATAAAACTTATGTGAAAGAGGAAGTGCCATTTGCACAGAGTACAAAGGATCGAAGGACAAAAGATTAGCACCATATATATTGCCTTGTACCTTTTTTAAAACATTAAAAACAAACCTGACCGCCCAAACATGATCCAAGAAATTTCTTAATGTCAATTTGAAGGCAGTATACTACGGCCCCTTTTTCTTATCTTTGGCCAAGGTCAACCCAGTACACATTACACAAGACATCGGATTCCTACAATAGTGTTCATTTGAGATATTAGCCGTTTTATTTCTATTCTATTTTCATTAACCGTTTGAAGCTTTTTAAGGCAAATACAAAAATTTGTTAGCAAAAGAGAAAACACCCATGCATTCAGCAAACTTTGGAAGATAATTGTTAAAATCATCCTCCGCTCCATGTAATCTGTCTGTCCGTTTAGTGAAATTCAAAACAAATCATTTGAATATAATTAACTGGTGCTGAAAGAAATATAAAATATTTTTAAAAAGCAATCTCAAGAACAGAGCATGGAAACTTTTTCTCTAATTTACATATACCTGAATATGGCCTAGGCCTTGCTTTAGGTTTTCCTGCAGCAAATGGAGGATGTGGTTTGAATCTAAGGTGACTTGATAAGGGCGCATCAGGGCCCACCATACATCTGCTGACAGCCTCACTGTTGTTGTTTGGCTGTTGCATAAATGAGCCCCCCGTTGCAGACATGATGAGTTCTTGTGCTGCAAGAAAGATACGAGAAAGTCTTGCTGGTGAAGACAGCAAACTATAAGCATAAACATTCACTCAATTGCAAGACACAAATTGCATGATCATGGCAAGAGAAATATTATTGGAGTATGAAAATTTAATAAAAGAGCATGTGCGTCTGTCAAGGAGTATGTGTGTGTGTGAGCGCGTTTGTGTGTGTGTGTGTGTGTGTGTGTGTGTGTGTGTGTGTGTGTGTGTGTGTGCGTGTGTGTGAGTGTGTGTGTATCTGTATGTGTGTGTGTGAGCGGGGAGGGGCTTTGTATGTATGGGCGCCGTGTGCCTGTATGTGTGGAGTGTGTGTGTGTGTGTGTGTGTGTGTGTGTGCGTGTTTGTGCATTAGGCCTACATTTATTTACATATATGCAAATGCATGCATGTATCAAGTGAGAGTGTTTTAGTAGAGTTTTTATGGCACCAGTAACTGCAGGTCATATATATATGAGAGTGTGAAATGTGTACTGTGCGTGCGGCATAACAAGCCGTCAATTAAAATTATACCACACTCATGATAAGAGCAATGCAAACACTTCTTAACCTTAAAGTCTAAATTAAGCTATGTTTTAATGCCCATGCTTGACTAGTGCACAAGGCGTGACAAGGTAAGAAAAATCACATGATTCACAGTAAATTAGACAGAGACAGACAGCCAGGACGTATGATTCTTGATCTTATAATTTTGTATCGAAGTGGCTAGCCGTACTTAAGTACGGCTAGACTGAGAGTCTAGCCGTACTTAAGTACGGCTAGACTGCCAGTCTAGCCGTACTTAGATCTAGGTTTGGCCCTATCGACTCAAGCCTGTTAAGTACACAGGTCTCATTAGATTTAGATCTAGTAATTATTCAGGTTCAAATACATGCAAGTCAGTAAGGCACCTTTTGGTTTTGTCTAAAATACAAATACTTTAGGCATTGCAAACTAAAAATTTCATTTACAATTCAGCCATCAATATTAAGTACGGCTAGCCTGATAGTCTAGCCGTCCTTAAGTACGGCTAGCCTGGCTGTCTACCCGTACTTAAGTACGGCTAGTCTTGCCGTACTTAGTCTAGTCGTACTTATCTTAGGCCCTATTAACATTAGAAAACAGGAGGTTTAAAATACATGCACTGTCAATAAGGCACCTGGTTTTGTCTCAAATACAAATACTTTAGGTACTGCACACTAAAAATGTAGGCCTATTTTTGGTAAATGGTCAGTCTAGCCATCATATTAAGAATAAGTACGGCTAGACTGCCAGTCTAGCCGTCATTAAGTACGGCTAGCCTCTTCCATTTTGTATAGAGGCAGGCCTATACAACAGCACTACGTTGATTACAGAGTGAGATCTAGATACATCTAGATCTATTCGACTAAATGAGAAAGGTGGTCCAAAAAGACAATTAAACAAGTTGGATCGCTGGAAAAATAATGTTAACACTTTCAAAAAGAAAACTTTCTTTAATTTTTTTTTCCAACAGGCTAAATTCTTGAGTCTAGATCTAGAATCTATAGATCTAGATCTAGAATCTATAGATCTAGAATCTAATAAAGGCTTACATTGCTCATTACACTAACTAAACAAAATTGGAATCAGTCAACACCTGAAGGATAGATTGCTAGAGTCTAGATTAGATATTATGCTCAATCGTCTACAACAGTGAAAGTTTGAAAGCAGTCTAGATTTAGTGAGCAGTCTGGCTAAGTCAAAGTCAAGATCTTAAATTAAGGCTATAGATCTAGATCTAGAACTAGATCCAGTAGTATTCTAGATCTAAGATCTTGATTAGTAGTATTCAACACGACACAGCTCCACAACCAACAGCAGAGTCAGTTGATCCGCCGCCGGGCCGTAGAATAAATACGATATATTCTATATAATTATTAATTATTCGATTACACGCCATTTCACGCGGGAGGCTGGCCTGGAAACAAACCTTAAAATGGAAAAAATCTACTAGAGAACATATCTCCAGCTAATACAAGAGCATCACCGGTTCCATAAATAGAGCGTTATCCACTGCTTGCTTCGGTTCCCAAAGCTATTTACCATTGTTTAGGTTGGTTACCACCATCCTGCGCATGCGGAAACGGAAGTGGACTGGAAACCTGGATTGGCTATACAGCTCAGAGTTAATTATTACCAACAACAATTACTGAGCTTCAACCCTGAGAACAATGAATCCTGCTGAACCGTTGTAGGTTTATGGGGGGAGACCAAGGAGTTTATAACTAATCTTTTAATCTCCTTGGGGGAAACACAGAATACACTGAGTGTAGAATTCTGGAGGTGGGAGTGGGGAGGGTAAAAAAGCGGTTTTTTAAATATTTTTTTTTATACGGGCGGCGGTTCAGAGGAGAGATGGTTGCACAGCATCCACTTTCTTCTTCTCTTGCTTTTGTTCTAATATGGAATTTACAGAAGTAACATAATTAAAAGTTTATTAACAGTCTATACGCACTATTCCTTTTCTTATTTCTAAAAATAAAATCCCCTTTGCCCTCCTGTACTGTGAGAGTGGCAAGTTGTCCAGATTTGTGTACGTGTAATTTCAACAACGTCGTAACGCTTTTATATTAGTTATATTGGTTATTTTGGGATGAAAACTTTTTCAAGGTCCTTGCGCTTTCCTCCAATAGTCAGGACATATGGCGTCTAGGTTTAACCATTCACAGAATCTGCTTGTTTTCATTTTACTTTTACATTAGATTTTATAAATTTAGACAACCCTTGCCCTTTTCCTCAAGTAACTAAATTCTTATCCAGTTTGTTTCGGTTCCCGGGCCTACATTTTTCCCTGTCGCCTATAAACACGAATTGTAAGGGCCGATATGCAAGCTTGCCTGACTCTTTCTATTTTGTTTATCTGATATAAACCCCTTCATCGCCTGGCCCGAGACTGTCTGGGGTTCTCTGGGTTGGACTAAAAGTAGAATCAAATTCCTGTTATACACATAAAGCCTATAATATACTTTATCCCCCACTCCTATACCCTACTCCCACCCTTACGCAGGAATGCACTTTTTACTGTAAATATCTGCTCCATAACTCAATTCTCGGGTCTGGCAGGGAAGTAGTTAACCAGTCTGTTTCTGTCTCTTTCTCTAGATCTCAGTATCGCCCCGCCCCCTCCCCCCACTCAAACATCCCCCTAACACTTCACCTCACACACCATCCCTCCCTCCCTCCATCTCCCCCTCCCTTTCTCCCTCCATCTCT